TTCGGCTGTCAACACTCGTCAACGCATCCAGTAAATAGTATATGCTACAGAATAAGAAATCGATTCGAACTGTGGAGTGAAATGAGACGAAGTGAATGAGAAAAACACATCAAGAGAACGATATTCGCATGCAATAGCTATGAGAGTGAATACAACACGTCCGAAAAGAATGAGAATCCATCTGAATCAGTTTGAAGTGAGCGTGTCATTGACAATAGCTTTTCATGCAGTCATATTCGATTGCAATACTGGAGAACACAATGGTCTAGCAGAAGGCCCAACGATGTCGATCATCATAGACATGCTAATAAGATTGAACGTAACGGTCATCTGAACAGAACATGCGCGATTTCCAAATTTAATGGGGGCGGGGGGGGGAGGCAACGGCGACCTGCCAGATCATCAAAAGGGGCAGTGGAGCACCGGAACGTGAGAATCAGTGTTCCAGAGGGAAGGACAGTTAGAATTTCTCGTGACGTTGGATGCAGCCGGATAAGTCTCTTATTGCATTATCGCAGTTTGAATTATTAGGCAATAAAGTACCGTATGTGACACTCACAGATAACAAGCCACGTATTAAATGAGTTTGAAGAAATGAAGATTAATGACAAGCCATGAACGCTTTTAAGCACATCTTAATTCCAGGAATTTACCACGAGCAATCTACATATCCGTACCAGCAGTTACCTTAATCTATATATTGGTTAATATTGCGTATTTCGCAGTTCTTTCACCAGATGACGTGATTGAGTCATCGGCGGTTGCAGTCACATTTGCTGAAACAATATTGGGTCCATTTGCCATTTTTATGCCGTTACTAGTAGCCATCTCGTGTGTTGGTGGACTCAATGGAATACTTTTTGCAGCGAGCAGAATGTTTTTTGTGGGTGCGAGGTGAAACAATTTGATTTGCATCATGTAAACGGACAATCGCGTTTTTGTTCCATACCGTCGTTTCATTTTGAACAGTATTCCAACTTTTCATCACTCACTCGTGCAAGCTCAATTACCGATAGCTTTCATTGATTAACGTTGCACCATTATCCATTTTCGCATAAAAATTTGTCATATGAGCAGATGAAGTTTCATTTGAAGCTGAATGGTGCATAATGCGTCTGACGATGAGTGTTCCCAAGCAAACGATTAATTGAATGCTATCACTTTTGCATGCTTTGAGGAATGGCCAACTTCCGGTATTGATTGCGATGATTAATGTACCTTACGTGACTCCAATGCCATCAGTGGTATTGCTCGGCTTGTTGTCCGTGCTTATGCTTGTATCGTCAGACATCTATGCATTGATCAACTACTTATCATTCACAGAGGCTGCTGTAGTGGTTTGCGTTGTTGCGGGCCTTATTAAACTTCGAATCACCCAACCTCAACTTCACAGACCAATCAAGGTCTTTAGAATCTTTCGTGCACTATTCTTGCTCGTATGTCAAGCATCAATCAAAAGACATTTTTTGAGGAATCTTTAGACTAATGAATCAGTTGTAAGTAAATGATAAGAAAGTTTAGATTCTCATCAAATAGATTAGTCTATTCCAATGTACCAGATACTCTCTAGACTCTATTTTCTAAATATTTAGTCGTTGAAAAAAAGTCTTTAAAATTTCCTAATGTTGTGAGTATGCAAAATGGTTTTTGCGATGATTAATGTATTGCCGTTTCAGCTGAACTTGGCCATACCAATAATATTCGTCGTAATGTGCGTTTTTGTATTGGTGCTACCTTTTCTCACTAAGCCTAATGAACTCTTCATTGGTTTGGCAATAATCTCGACTGGTGTTCCCTTTTATGTGATATTCGTCGCATGGCGTGACAAACCACGGTTCATTACTGATCCATCCAGTTAGTGTTGTTTGCTCAAGAATTTACTTTATTTTTGTTTCGAACATTCGAATCCCCTATTAGTTCAATGATTGTAAGAGGGGAGGGAAAAATTCCTTCCTGAGAGGAATTCGAACGTGACATGGAAAATTGAGAGGGGTTGGAAAATCACGTTTGATTGATTTCAGAGAAATTTTTCTTACGCAGATATTCAGTGATGTTTTCAAAATACGTGTTTGATCACAAAAAAAAAGAACGGTTCCAATAATGTCATCGATGTAATTTTGACAGACGACTCCTTCATCACTGAATCAATTTCTTGATCTTCTACTGATCTGTCACCAAGATGTAGCAGACTGTCGCAGTAGGAGGAGGGAATGTGGTAACATGGATTCTTAGAGGGAAGAGAGAATGACAGTCTGTCATAAAGCCAAAGTGGCGAAGGGTAGTGCAAAAGCGTGAAAACCGCTGTATGGGCCCGATTGCTTGCTTTATTCATCCGTGGATTTGTGTTGATGACAGTTTTACTAACTAAAATGACTCAAAAATTTTCACTAGAATGATTTGTTCAGTAAGTAAAATTGAATATACTGAGAGTTCGTTTTTTTAGCAGCGACAACGCATTTCATACAAAAACTATTCTATTGCGTTCCCGAAAGTGAACATCAAGGTTGATGGGCAGAGGCGAACATCATTGCGGAATTTTGTTGAGGATGTGATCATTGTTCGATCAGGAATCAACATGCTCTCCTCCTCATTCAATCATTCCCAGCCAAGCTTTAAGGAATGCTCTTCAGTTCTGTTCATATCATGCACGCAGACCTGTTGAATTTTCATGAACAATTATTCGAATTAATTAGTGCTGAACATTATGATTGTAGTGTTGAAACAGAACATGCTCAATGTGCTATGATTCCAGGAATTAATTATGGTGTTCGCTATGTGCATCTATTCGTTACCATTACCTGACAATTTGTAGTTGAAGTTAACAGCCACAAAAACACACGATGTTTTGTTTCGGTCAAACTGTTCTATTCCTGTTCTACTCTTAGGAACAGAACATGACAGTTTCAAAAAGATAATCATTTTTAAAATGTAATCAAACATAACGCATTAGTCGATGTTATTGCATGTGTACCTCAAGCGTCTGCGTGAAATCGTTTGCGTTCATCTGCAGATCAGAATATCACCATGCTCGGTATGGATTATTTCCTTCAAATTGAGTTCGTGAGCTCACTCACGCCAAATGTTATTCTTTGCTTATAAATGTTTCTGCTTAATTTTAAAGTAAACCAATTCAGCGTCCAATGACTGATTGACAATTCATCACTTGGAACCTCACAATGACACTTAAAAGCTTTCCCTATCAGAAACGTCTGGTTTTAAAGATGAAGAGTGTTTTTTTTTTCAAGCTCAATAAAAGCAACATTAAGTCGAACAATCGACTATGCATCACCTAAAATGCATGATAGTTATGTAAACAGGATTACGTCTACACGTTACATGCAAAGTGTTCAGTCAGATAAGCATTCAGTTATTGATTTGCAACACAATCTCGCATTCATCAACGTGAAACCTTGAACAACCGTTGATAGTGTCCTATTTGTTGAAGCTATTAGCTATCTGTTTAGTATTCCTAAATGTCTAGATTAATCATTTGGATACTAATTTGCAGCCAATGACTTCCATGAATATTTAATCATAAATAGTTGTCAATTTCGTTTCGGCCATAATCAAAAGTGCTCGAATGGTGGGACTCCGCATTAAACTCTGTTAGGTATTCCACGAAATCATCATCTTTTCAGTGTTCTTTCGTATATTCAATGATGCCTTGAATGACTTCAGCCTCAAAAAATTTTATCAATCAATTTCCTTCTCAATCTGTCAGGAATTGAAGTGGAACTAAGTGCACGGTGCAATTATCTTTGTTGGGTTTGTTCCATGCTAAAGCTTGTTCGGTGTGTCACAAAAAGATGAATTTCAAATAATAGTTGTGAATACAAATTAATTCAATTCACGAAAGCGTTCGTTTCGTGCAAATAAGTAAAGTGCATTGATGGACACATACCTGAATATGCACGCAAGCAAGCATCAAGATAAATATCTGTAAATTTCAAATCACTGCTTACTTCATCAAATTGTAATCAAGAGGGCAAGGATATTGAAACGTTCCGGTGAATGTTTCTTGATAGACGCCACGCCACGCCCTTCGCTACATTCATAAGTTCTGTCTATGTTGTACTTTTCACAATCAGCCTGACAAATGCATTTATACTGTTGCTGTGAGCTACCTTTCTGAAGGTACTGCTTCTTACCATGATAAATGAGAAATTTGCTTGAAACAAAAATATTCTTCTTATGTCTTCAGTGTCTTATGTCTTATGTCTTATTCTTCTTATTCTTCAGTCACTAGTTCTTTTACGTTACCACTGATTGAACTTCCGTCAGTTGTTTTATGGTTTTCTGATGTCTCAGCACAGTTCACATTAACATCCTACTTGTAACTGAGACGAGCACTGATAGTGAGTCTTATCATTTTAATTCAAATTGTGTTTACGTTGATGCTATCTATAGGAACATATAAATAAAGCAGTTAGGAAATTATCAAAGGAAATTCAGAGAATGCATAGCACAATGGTAAGCTGAAATTATTCGATCACTGATGCACCTACAAACAATCGACGTTTATTTATCAAACGATTTCATGTTTGGCTACTTTTAACTTCCGCTTGTTTGCATAAGCAAAGTTTACAAACTTGTTTTTGCTGCAGTTACGAGTGCCCTGAGAAGTGTCGATTCGGTTTACGGAAAAGTGTTGAATTTCATTAAGTGGAAAAGTTTCGACAAATTACGAACTGCGGTTGTACATGAGCTGTAGCTGAAGCGTTGACAGCTGAAATCCCCTGAAGTGACCCGAGAGTGAGGAGAGTCTCGACTGGTTCGTAGTTTCATCAGTGACACTTTTCCACGTGCTCATCGACAGGACGATTTTTTCAACACTTTGACACTAACTCGCAATTATCAACAAACTATCACCAGTCATAGCTTTCATATCAGTCAATCTTCGTTCACATAGCTCCGTTCATTTTTTATTCAAATGTGTATTTCTCATTTCCTCTGTTCACTTTGTTTTTTTCGTATTGCGAGAACTTCGTGATTAACATAGAAGATTGAACTGACTAGCGAATAGAAGATACAATTTCTATTATAGCAACAAAATTTCCTCAGCAAATGCCAATATTTTCCAAAAAAAAGTGCAAGTACACATTTTTTGGTTCCCTGAAGACAAGCTAAACCGAAATTGAACTTTCATGGAAGATAATCTATTTCTCGGCAGTGAGTTTTTTTGTGATGATATTTAATTCCATATGGGTCGCATCCCGGATATCGAGTGATGGAATTAGATTACAAGCCGTAGGTTACCGCCGCTCATTGCATTCATCCGGAAAATATTAAAGTTCTTCCAATCAGCAACCTTTTGATCATCTCCGATCTCATTCCCACTCATTGGAAGTAGACCATTCGAATGTTCAAGCGATATTCTCTCCTTCAGGCATCAACTCAGATCAAGTGTTGTTCAAATTTAAAAATTCTGTTACGTGCTAAGAGGTTTTCGAGGTGTATTGTGAAAGCATTAAGAAGTGATGGCTTGACGGCAACCGCAACCTCGGAACAGCAAAGTATTCTCAAAGAAAACAAAATGAATCGTTAACAATCAAGACTTGTTGGCATGAATTGTGGTGGAAGCCTATAGATAAACAAGGTGATGGCAATGAGCACACTAGAAACCTAAGGCACACAGTATGTAAGGATATCATTTTGAGAAAACTAATGAGGGAAATTAGCCTTGAAGAAGTTATTGTAAGTTATTGAATAGCTATCATTCTGCTCGAACAGCGAAGTTTTTACCATAGGAATGTCGCAATGCAAAAGCTGAACCAGGTTGAAAACTGGAAGTTGAAATGTTAACATGAGATTTTTCCTCTGGTTTTATAAAGCTTTGTTATGGAGCGAGAATTGAAGCTCAGCAAAAGCTGGAATCCGTTGTTGTTTAGTTTCATTTTTAATGCTCCAACAGTCCTACTACAGTCACTCTCAATCGGTAACCTTCCTTTGAAATGTATTTTGTAATAACCTACTGGATCATCAATCCACACTAAGAAACTCTTGCTTAAGCACGCCCATTCTAAGAGATTTTAATTTTGTCATCATTTATTGATATGAATTGCGGTTCTGACTTATCGAAAGTCGACAATCATATAATTAATTATTCATTGTTTTCTTACTTATTTAATTTACAAAATTCAGTGGAAAAGTATTGAACGAAGGATATTGGAGAGTAACTAAAAATTCATCGCGATGAAAATAGTCCCCGTTCCGGTGTGTGAATTACGAGTGGAGAAATTCAGCGAGCCGAGGAGAACACCTGCATTTATTTCACTTTCGCTTCTCGTGAGTGAATTTCATGGCCGTCGATCAATCTATATTTTAACGGCAATGCTTCATTCAATGTATTGATGATCTTAACCTATGGATTATTCCCATTTTTGAGGCATCCTTGAATTTTCGAATATTTGCTTCTTGGACTCATCAGACAGAAATTGCGACGTGATCAGAGTTACGCAAAGCAACAAAACGAATTTCATGTGAATATGTCACCGAAATGAATCAGTCAGTCATTTAAATAATTTTTGTTTCAGATCGTAGCATGGCTCTTAAACGAAACAGCGCTGGCATGGATTCACGAGAAGGTACCTAATGATTCGCCACCTCTACCTGACCTTTGGTTCAGCATTTTTCCGGAGGTAAGCAGTGATCGTCTCATTCTATCGATCAGTGCTTGCGAACGTCCAAAAACCGATGCTCATTTATCTTTATAACTAATGTTGATAATCTACTTGTACTTAGTAGCAGTGTAGTTCTAATGGTTTATTGTCATTTCATTTTTTCATTGGATAACCTACGATAGATGCAGGCGTTGTTCATTTGTATGCTATCATCAACAAATTGGCGTTATCATTTTATTGCACTCAACGCTCGCCTTGTTGTAGACAAAAGATGTGAATTTAAAAGCTCTAATTGCATACGAGAGAAGAACATTAGTTGAACAGCTTGAGGGCATAAAGTATCATTGAATAAGGTATTCCACATATCCATTGTTGAAGTTGCCAGTAGCAACTAGCTTTTTTGAATACACATCGATCTCGTATCCATCGGAAATCTGGTTGACAATCACTGGTCTATCCCATCTCACAAAACCTGAATTTTTCAAACAAAATATTGATAAATTTTCAAGACTTAAAAACATGAATTGATTTCGTTGTAATCTCGATATCATAAAACGAAAATTTAGAAAGATTTTTATTTCAAACTTTATTTGCCCCTCAAAATTTGATGACAATTTCAAATGGAATCGTCATCGAGGAAAGCTATCAACCGGTTACTAGAAAATTTGTAAACGAACAAAAAAAGAATTCAAGGATAACTAGTTTCAACCGAAAAATCTCTTATCCTTTCTGCATTTCTCGAAAGGATTTTATTATATTTAAGAGTTTCATCGAGAGAGAAGTGCTTTTTTTCTCACACAATCGGATCAGTCAATGAAGGGAACTGAAGTTTAGGTCTCTCTAGTTTGCTCCAGTTAAAGTTGACACTGAATTCCAGTTTAATACATATCGGAGGTTAAGTGGGGCAGACACTTTTTCTCGATATAGTTTGAAGATGAGCAGTTTGATGTTTTTTATGAAGAAGATATTTTTAATGGATACATAGTGAAGAGTATTTAAAGAACAGGATTGAGAAAGTTTGTTTGGCATCCGAAAATTTACTGAATGTTTGTAACCAAGAGCACCCGTCATGTTTTGGTCTATCTCCAAGAATAGTCAGATCTATCGATTTCATTCGCCGAAAGCATCATTGGTAATGCGCATGAAAGATTCAATGGGAGAGAAGCTGCGAGTCAGTGGATTAATGCGAAAAGGTTTTAACTGATCAAATCAAAGGCATGCATGGGTCAGTCGGTTGGGCTGAGAAGGACAATTACAGAACGAGTCGTTGAAGATGTTGAAAGAGAATTGATGAGATTGATGTGTTATGCACTATAACAAGGCATTTAAAATGGAGTAAATTTCTTGCTCAAAAACGAATTTCACAGTTTCAGAGAGATGAGAGAGAATTTTTAAGAAGGTTGAGAAATTCTTGTTGCAGGGATTTGTTGACTGTCATTAGCCATTTATGAGGATTATGTTGTTGTGTGGAGCCATTGAAAACAGATGGTGCATGAGAGTCTGACAAAGTTTCAATAAAATCACTTCACAGATAACGGGTGCGATTCGAATAACAGAGGTGATCATGTTGACCATAGTGATCAGCGCAATAGTGGTGATCGTCTGCCATCAGTACCGATGGATCGTTGCGCGAAGAGTCTTTTTTTGTATCGCTCTTTGTTATACATTTCGTGCTATGTGTATAACGATCTTTCAGGTGAGATTGACACACATTAAATTTCATTTATATATTTTCAAATAATTTCCCAGTATGTGCACTTTGTTAGCTTCAGCACATTAGAAAATGTTCACATGTTTTGATTGATCATAAGAATTTCATGATCAATGACGATTTTAAGCAGTTCAACGTAAGGAGCGAATTCGAAAGAGTGACGATCACATTAATTATTACTAATGTTCGCTCTTAGCTTAGCTGCTTTTTTTCACAGTTCAATTTTCGCACACAAAGTGACTTACTACTTAAGTTTTGATAATGATGAATTCATAAAGAGCATGATCAACTGAGTATGAAAAAAACAACAGAATATTACAAATAAGAGCATCATCTTATTTTCCATCAAGTTATGATCATGAATTATGATGCTTTAACATAAGGCAAAAGTTATCGGAAAAGAAGCCAAATTTGAACGGTGTTGGAGTTTTCTCGATAATTTTTTTCCACTGAGCATCAAAATTCAACCAATTCAACGCGATGCTCTGATGATATTCGTACCATTCATGCGCGAATGACATCTACGACATTAGTGGTGTCAAAAGCCTCACTTCTGACAAATGATCGCTTGCACTGAGTGGTGTTCAATTCCATTTTGTTATCCGGTGATCGCCTTCGCTTTTTCTGTCAAAAATTGTTTCCTTGACAGTGTAACATCATAGCATTCGAACTAATCTTTTACTTTTTACGCATCACTTTCAAGAAGCATAAAAAATTTGCTACGACTTTGACTGATTCGCTTACAATAATTTTAAGGTACCTGTACCAAGCGTTAAAACATATTGTGCACCAAAGACCAATGCTAGTTTAGAAGTAGTTGTAAAACGAGTAATGAAAATTGCGTGGTCAGCTGGAATCGAACAACTCCGTGCAAGGTTAATGATGCTTTAGTTTCATGCCTGATCGTCTTCGCATGAACAAGAATTTTCAGTTATGCAGATGTGGTGAAGTCGCTTATCAAATCTTTATAGCAGATTCTGGTGATTATTCTTCTCAGATGTGTCCTTCATGCGGTTTGATGGTTTTCAAAAGCTACAACTAACAGATTTTTGAAATTTTTCGGAAATGACGAAAAGACGAATTCCCCTCTTCAGTGGCCATCTCGTTTAAATAAATTCTTTTGAGAAATCGCCCTGAATCCATTGATCAAATGGTCAAACGAATGAATGAGTTACAAAACGAAACTGATCTAATTGTTTCGCTCAAGATCACGCAGTATGTTAGTCTGATTCTAGTTAACCGATTGAGGAATAGATTCAAAATACTTGAAACAGCCTCTATCTTAATGACTTTTCAGTTGAACTAAATCGTGAATAATGCATATGAAAAATCAGCAATTGCAAACGCGAATTCAGTGTGCTTGCAGAGAATTTTGTGGTGACCTCATTATATCGGGACATACGATTACGTTGTTCAGCGCCTTATTAGCTTTCAAGCAATATTCACCTCGTAAGCTGAGTCTATTGGCCCACTTATATTCGATTGCAGCCGTAATTGCCGTTATTTGCATCCTCCTAGCGAGGAAGCATTACACCATTGATGTTATTTTTGGCTATCTTGTTTCAAGCCGTACATTCTGGACGTATCACTCAATACAGGTAACTTTTCTTGCATTACTCTCTAAGCATTTCAATTGTAATATCATTTCATAACAATTCATTAAAATTTTGAAGAGCACTCCTTGTATTGAACCCACTTGATCAAATAATTTAAACACTTTTGTTTCCATTTAATATCACTTATTGTACAATGTTTTTGACATTTGCAAATATTTTTGAGAATTCATATCATAACAACGATATGGAGAAGAATGCAATGAGTCAATCATGTTGGTCCTGGGTTGTACCATATTTTGAAAAGGATGCGCCACCACCTCAGCTCTTCATTAATCGTCTCATCTGGCCATCCAGCTGTCCACAAAGGATTCGGCGTCGATGGGCATAATTTGATTCTATCTTATGCTAATAGAATAATAATTCATGTAAAGAATTAATTCATTTTCATTGTTGTAAAATCATTGGTTCGTATTAAAATTGCGAGAGATATATGATCAGTTGTGAGCACAGGTGGATAATAGCATGCTAGCCCGTGGATAATAGGGCACTATTCGGCTCCTAGCGGAACCACTTTTTCGGTAGCGCGATAGCGCGATATTTTATAGCGGCACAAAGTAGCGATAACTTACGGAAGCTGTTAGTGATCAGATTCCATCAGGAAGGCCGTCAATGAGGTAATAAACAACTAAATCGCAGCAAGATTATATTAATTAAATCTCAGGAATACTAAAGGCTGACTATGAGGCATCCCATCAAAGAATGCTTCAGGAAATCACTAAAGGACACGACTCTGATTCAGAATAAATATCCTATTCTTCTTTGTTAATAACAGTCGGAACTCTAGGAAAAATGCACAATAGAAATCGTTCACATTTTACGCCACCAATCAAGTTTGTGCTCGGAAGAATTGAGTCGGCCTTAAAAAATCAATTTATTCCAGGTTCATTACTGTGGGAAACTGTACTTCGTTTGGGAACGGGATGCTGGGACTAACCGCACTTGAACCGACGTTCGAGCAGTGGGCAAGCATGCACTGTTAAAAACAATGTTAGAAACGGATGTTTGCACAGACGAAATGTTTTGAAAAATTGACACTCCTCAGTGTGAAACGTTTTCCTTTCGATTAAACAAAATAGAAAACAACGGCACCGGAGAGCCAATCCCTATACGTCATAACGAGTGTGCATTCAAAGATTATAGGTTAAAGTGCCTCAGTTCCTCTACGATCCTGGTTACCAGAGCTCAGGACCATTTTTCTGTCCCAGTTATTACCACCTCTCGTTTTCAAGCCTAATTATCAGAATTGTTTTCATCATGTGTCTTGTTATTTCGTTATATTAAGAGAACAAGAACAGACCGCAACATAGCAATCAAAAACGACAGAACAGAACAATTCTGAAATCTTAGGGTGCGGGAGCAGGCCAAAACAGGACAGCTTCCAAAAAAACGAAGGTGGAGAACAAAGTAGCACAGAGTAATTCAGGTAGCGGAGTAGAACGTAACGACTTCAAAACAGGGACGTGCAAAACAGAATATGACAGATGAAAAGCGGGACAAAACAGGATAGAACAGTTTGTGGAGTAGAAACAAAACTATGAGGAACGTATGGCTCTTCATGTTGATTTTGATGTGACTTAATTTTTAAAGAAGAGAGCAAGAAAAAAATCACGAACCCAATGCAATGTGTTGAGGAATGAATCAACGATTGGAGAAAGAAACAAACTGTGATTGCCGTGATCGTTAATGCCAAAACATTCATTGAGCCACAATAGAATTAGAATATGCACCTCGTCATTGAGTCGAGTTTGGCAATGATTTCACCACAACTGCTCATGGACACAACCTCAGTTTGGTCGACTGCTATAAGATGTTTCTGACTGCTATTCTTATACTTGAGGCAATCCTACAGTGAAGTTCGAGGAGTTAGTTGTTCAATTTTATGGCATTCATACAGAGCAGGAACTAGGTTTCGAGACAAATTGTTAAGGTGTTTTTTAACTCGGGTATGTAAATGCGGTTAATTGATGGCAGCACTCTTCATTCTCCTGTTTTCTGAGTATCATTAGCTCATCCGGGCCTAACATGGTTTTCATTCTTTTCCTTGCTATTACAATTGCTCTCATAGCTTTTTTCACCGAAAGTGTTCTTTTTTGTTAATTTCTCATTCATTTCACGCAACAATTAAAGTCAAATTCTCATTCTATCAAATACACTCTATAATTGATAATTTGACTGTCGAATGTTGTTCAGCAATAATATTTGATTGCTGTATTGTTAATTTCGGCTGTCAGCACTCGTCAACGTATTCAGTAAATAGTATATGCTACAAATTGAGAAATTGATTCGANTGATTCGAACTGTGAAGTGAAATGAGACGAAGTGAATGAGAAAAACTCATATAGAGAACGATACTCGCATGTAATAGCTATGAGAGTGAATACAACACGTCTGAAAAGAATGAGAATCCATCTGAATCACTGTGAAGTGAGTGTGTCATAGACAACGGCTTTTCATGCGATCATAATCAATTGCAATAGTGAGCAACATAACGGTTTAGGACAGCGGTTCTCATTGGAAGTGAAATTACCTGTGTTTGGTAATTTGAGGGTGTCGGGTGGAGGGGGTGGGGGGGGGGAAGAGATAATGGCGGCCTGCCATATTATCAAAAGGAGTAATGGAGCACCCGAACGTGGGAACCACTGGCCTAGACGAATTAGCATTACTTTGGAAGAATTGTTTGGTTTTTTAATGGATTGACGACTTTATAGGATCCATTGACCTTGTTTGCTTTTTGAAGTAAAAACGATTGCCGTCTCCTAGCAGTCGTACTTTCTTGAGAACTAGAAGTGCTTATATCGCTTGAACCGTCGGCGTTAAAGCAAATTTAATTCGTTGTGCACAGGAAGTGGAAATGTACCGTGCTTCGCTTTGGGTGGTCAAATATATAATATCAGCAATAAAGATCATGATGAGGGCGCGATAGGTAGTCAATTAGTGTGTTCTATGATCTGCCTTAAAATAATGCGCTCTATGATTAATCTGAACTAGTAATGATGAACCTAATGTGGTTGAACTAATTGCTCTCTAATAAAAAAGTATTGAATTACAGTTAAGAGTTATTCCTGTACAACGATCATAATTATTATATTGTGCAGTAAACCTTAAGAAACGAAAAACCGGAACGCTTTGGGATGTTAAAACGATTTGCAATTTCCACATTATAGTTAGCTGTATTTGGAGCAAATTATGCATTCACCTGTAGACGAGCAGTCAGCGGAATTCGCTAAACTCGCAAAAGCGCTGACCAAAGACACCAGCGGGCGCTTTCGCTGAAAAATTCCGCTGGGAACGAATCAGCGCCCTCAGCACATTCCTGATAATAATTAATAATTAATAATAATAATAATAATAATAATAATAATAATAATTTATGGCAATCCTGGTGACAATGATGATAATAACAACAAGATCAATAATAATAAAAAATAAATAAATGCATGCTTATTTATTGGTCATAAGTGATTGTGCGTGGAAGATGAACGAAAAACAATGAGTTATGATTAGTGACAACGATTTGTTATTGGTTTAAGAAAGCGATTAGGATTGCAATGGACAAGCAATGATTCAACAACGGCAATTCCCATTGGAGATGGATGTGTGCGTGAAGATTATTTCATAAAACGTTCGTCTCGTTAACAAATCGAAATTGCATCGGGAAACGGTAATCCTCGAGCGAATGGTCGATGTAAACGCAGCAGTTCAGCTGATTGATATGGTGCTGCTGCTGCCGCTTGATTATAAGTGAAACAAACTGAAATGCTCTCATTTTATTCAATGCTTCAGTTCAGTGAAACTACAACTAAACTACAACGCATTTACAACTAAACAAACAATCAAATACAGTTATTCAAGCTTCACAAACAACCTCAAGTGAAATGAGCTAACCTTATTGATCTGATAATCAATTTCTATGAATGATACCTGCCTACCTATCACAAAATACATGTTTATACTAGATTTATCACCAAATTTTGCTGTTTTGTTCTGCTAGAACAATCTTTGATTGTGCATTCGGTAACTATACTAAGCTGCATCCAGTTAGCACACCTCACATCAATTTAACATATTTTCTCATATTCTAAATTCAGCCTATTATAGCTAATCATCCATAGCGAAATTATGCATAATTTTTAGCGTAAATACGAGATGCTATCAGATTTGTTCATGAACTCTGTTACGGACCTGAGATAAATTCCATGATATTGAACTGTAGGTATCAACTGTGCGCCATGAGTGCAGAAGAAACTTAAAATTTACTTAATCTCCTAGTTTTTTCCACTAAACACTATACTGAGTAAAGGCACCGTCAATCAATTAAAGAAAAACTCGATTTTTGTGGTACTTCTGAAGATTCTTCTACTGCTACATTTCAAAGTGAAAACATTTATGTGAATTTTAATAAAGTGCTAATGTTCATCAGATGGTTGAGAGTAAATACTTGGCTTTTATTATAACGTGATGATGTATGTGTGTATGTTGAACACCATATCCTAAAACATGAACAGAGAATCTCACCCTCTACAACAATCTTCATAGTATGCATCTCTTAAGCGCATGTCCGAGAATTTTTTTTTCGCATGTTTTGTTCAGCTTCTTGTCAATTGATTCTGAATTCGTGAAGCTCCGATGGTGTTTCTCTATCAACGTACCCACATAATGCCTATTTACTGTTGGATCTTTTGGGAAAAAACAACTACTCTTTCTTTCTTTGTCATTTCAGCAATATAATTAGCCAAAGAGTAAGAATCTGAAGATGTAGACAACTTTTTGATGAATATCAAAATGCTATTGAATATTATAATAGTAGGCTGAACGACTGATGATGTAACGTTTAACGTATTTGAGAGCAATTTATTTTGTTGTTTAACGCTAATTTTCATAATCGCGCACACATTAAGTGATATTGATATATGGATAGATAACTGCGTCAATGTATTCATTCAGCTGAGGGTTTGCGATTAAAATTTTGATGAATGTGATAATTATGCAAATGAGGCAGCTATCGACAATTCTGTGCAAATATGATCTCTTTACCGCACTTCGTCATCATAATTTTATCTGCTTTGACATTATTCGATCATATTTTCAGTTTCAATTTATTTCAATTCGTTTCTTCATTACGAATTGAAACAATTCAGCTTACGCTCTCATTGGTACAATTACATCATTCAAAATCTCATGCTCACTCTTCAATCACAATAAAGGCATTCAATTTAATTTGCTAGACTCTATCTGAACAACTAATCATAGCAACAAATCTGGAGATATTAGTTGATCTGTTCTGCTTTTACTTTTTTAGACTCAAAAACAAAGTATCATATGAATTCATTTGCATACACATTATGCTCTCGTGCATTTTTATTATATTATTTCATTTATTTTGCACACTCTATCAAATACCATCCATACAGGCAAAACCAACGAATTAATCCACAATATTATTAATTTTACACCGTAAGCGATGATGACTAGCTTGATACACATTTCCAATGGCGATTGACTTTCACAATGTAGAAGAACTTTTAGAAGCAATTATGGAGAGTCCAAGGTTGGTTCAATTCATCGCCGAAAGATGCACGAACGTCCCGGTTCAGGACGAGTCAACATCGTTATTTTCAGCTGTACTCATCCAGAATACTGAAGTTCTTAAATTTCGTTATTTACAGGGTTTTCGTCTGTGCAAAAGTACTCGTTCAAACAGAATCACAGCATGAAATTTTTTCGCTGAATCCATGAAAAATTGCCAATTTTTTTTTGCTGCGACGTAATGAGCTCAAATTATCACGATTAAATTCGAACAGAATTGCTCAAAATTTCGAATATTTTAAAATCGTATTAATTCATTCGATTTCAAATACATTCTATCGATCATCATTCATATCAGTTTGAACAACCCTAAAAACATCAGACTAACATTGATAATAATCGATAGCATTGGTATAAATACACAATTTGCTAATGGTTCGTTTCATATACATTTTCTATCACCATGTCATATTAAAAAACGGTTGAACAGTTGATACTTTTACATTGAAATATATAATTGGTATCGATGGGCTCTCGACATGATCTCGAGCTCAGATTATAGATGAAAATATTGGCCAGTGAAGTCAAAGCCATTAGTACGAACTGACTAAAACTAAATGGAAACAGTTTATTTAGCGGATTGCAACAGTAATTGATCACATGAAAGAAATCAAGAGATCCGGTGAAATAGAAGATGAGTGAGATGGAGAAGAGCTTGTCATATTCTGAGCACTCTTTCGAACAGGCTTTATTAGTGAACAGCGGGAATGTGAGCATTTCTTGTTTGGACGATGAGAATGCAAATCTACCTAGAAGACAGCTGATCATCATATCGGTGAAGGCATTAATGTTGCTTAGTTTTCTGATTCAGTTTCTTAAACGCCTGCTAATAAAATTGGCCATAAGACTACAACACTTCAAACAGTGATTGTTGAGGTGGTCGATGCTGTGGAATATTGGAAGATTGAGAGAATTTTCACTGTTTCGGCAAACCTTTCTTCTCAAAATCAATTCAGCGTAGAGCACCTGCATCTTTTATTTGTAAATACGTTCATTGCACTGGTCGGAATTGCCTAATCAAGATTTGGATTTCAATAATCGTTAGTATATAAACTATAAACAATGGAAGCGATTTTCTCAGAATAAATCCTTGCGAGAAAATTTCAAAAGACAAATTTGCAATCGAATTCCTTAGAGATTTTTATAACTAAAGAATTGCAATTGTTAAGACATAATTACACACTTGAATTTGAGAGGTAAACATATACATTCTCTTGCTACGTTTCGGTGTCATCTTTTATGGATGCTGGACTACTTTCGCGAATTGTGATGCCAGCTGGTTGAGTGATTGGAAAGAGCGGAAACATAAACGGTGACATCGATTTACACGCCTGGAACAATTGCATATTAATACAGTACACCGAGCATTAATATACTGATTACAGAAAAGTGGTGAATCGCATTCATTCAATCGCGTTTAGTTGAAGATTAAAAAAACAGTTTATTTCCCATTTCAAAGACATTTCCTTGCTGAATTGCATGTAAATGCTAGAATAACAATTTCACATCTAACTAGATGTTCATGTGAACCTAACACTTATCATATTTTCTGACTGATCTAACAAGACGATACTCCAACTCTTTCTGTCTCACGGAAGTTGCCACAGTTCAACAAAATCATGGAAATACTCATTTTCGATATTTATCCGTTAAAACGGGGGGTTTTTAATGACAAAGAAAAGCTGTTCCTAACACTCAGTCCTGTCTAGGCTCGATTGAGAAGAGATTGTAAAAAAATCTTTTTGAAATTTCGAAACTGACTTGTACTCGGGGATACTTTGCATTTGGTCTTCTTCCACGAGGTACTCGAGATGCAGCCAAAAGACTTTCAATCGAGAATGTACTCGCTGGCTCTTTAGGCACATCACCTTCTCTCTGTAAAACTCAAGGTATGGAAGTGTTGAAATTGGCTTTCATAAGCAGGAAATTAGGCCGACTGGAAGAAATTTTGCTGAATGAATAGTAAATAAAACCACAATTCGATATTGAAGTAAGATAGATTATTGAATATCCTCGGCGAGAGGTATTTTTGGATTCAATGTTACTGAGACAATATTTAAAAATTCATTGAGATTTCCTTCAATTCATCCGCTTTACTCACATTCGGATTGGATATGAATGAATAAGTGCACACGATATTGTACAAAACTGCTTTCACTAGACCAAATCCTTCATGAGCCAAAAATATCAAGTATTCACAATCGGTCAAAAATTAGGATTTTTTTAATTGCCAGTTGTTTTAAAGTGAAATTGTTGTAGTGGTTATACGAAAGCTTTTATGTGACCTGTTCTCCTTCGCTCTTGGTTGCATCTCGGCCACAAGAACTATGTAGAGCGGTGTTCTGCGAACGACCCACCCCTTTCCTCGACTGCTCTTTCTTACGCCATTTGGCCCTTCGATTTTGAAACCAAACCTGATTTTAGAAAATTGCAATGAATTTAGAGACAACTCAGTGATTATCACCACAGATAATAGTGTTCAGGAAACAGTAAATGACATAAAATTATTGTTGAGCAAATAATTGAGGAAAGAAATTGGAGTGAGCTCTTTAGTACTGAATAAAGTATTTGGCATAAAAACAATTGACAAATGATAGAGAAATAAATACTTAGTGCTTGAATAGTTGAATGTAAAAGCATTTTGCTTTGCAACATAACAGCACAAAGATGTTCATTGAGAGGACATTAACGTCGCAACTTGTGACACCCTTGAGGACTGTGCTCTAATGTTTATGAAAGTGATTCCTAAATGCTGTGCTTGGCTTTATTCAACTTGCACACCAAAATGACTATGTTCTCTTATCTTATCAAGCAGTCGCATCTTGAATTTGTTCGCAGAGAGAAACGAGTTAAGTTGACGTTTTACCGATAAAGCCATCAAATAATGAAATTAGCTACCATTTAATGTATCCGTCCTATTTTGTTATCTACTTTCGTTCATTGATTTATCAAAAGCCATGCACACATACGCAATTATGCTACAGACAAGACTTTATATGATTGTTTGCGCTTGAAATTAAATGCACAGAGTGAACGAATCACAAGATCTAATAGAGTTGAGGTATTTAAGATGATCATTGGAATATCACGAATCGATAATAAGTGATTAATGTTCATGTTAAATTATACGATGTGTATCAGTGCCGGTTACGGTGTTCTTTTATCTACGCTTGAATAACACTACTAATGAAGCAGTTCATGCTTCACATGTGATTGTTTCTATTATGATTATTTGTAACTATTATCAGTATTGTTATTGTTTCCATAATTATCACTATTACATTCAGTAAGAACACTATTTTTATAATATTACCAATATGATCCGTTTGAAACTGAATGATTATAGATTAAACTTATGAAATTTTTATCATAAACTTCACCGATCAGACGTAGACAATGTTCTAATCAGGCGTAGACAATGTTCTAAATAAAGACGCCTAAATAAATGCACAGTTCGCATTCCTTATTACGAAAGCATTCTCAATCAGAGGGAAAGTTAAAATTTCATTTGGAACTGCGAATTCCACTGCAGTTTTCTCACTTGAAGCATTTTCAAGGGAGCATCAGTTTTTATTACATTATAAACCTACTGATTAAGTGCGCAATTTATATTTCAAAATGATAATTGAAGCTTCAACGAAAGTTCGAATGAACTAGTAAAAACCTTATTCAGCTGAAATTTCATTTTTGAATACGAAGGTTCAAAGTACTTTGTGGATTCTTTCATGAAGATCTCAAATCTTTTGTGAGCATTTGAATTATGAACACCTGAAGTAGGCTCTGAGGTTTCATTTTAAAGGTCGAATTTCGATCCGAGCAAAAAAATGGCCACTGTTAAAAGTTTGCATGTTAGACAGTCGCAAAATATTCGAGATTTAGCAAGCAGGTGGAAGTGTTGATAGTTTTTGATAGGCATTGTGAGGCAATTAAAGGCAAGCATGAACCAACCTGAACTCTAGATTCGAGAAGATCCAATCTAAGCGCAAGAGCTTCGCGCATAAATACGTCCGGATAATGACTAGCCTCAAAAGCATTTTCCAGTTCCTCCAGCTGCCAACCCGTGAAATTCGTTCGCGTTCGTCGTCGTTTATTATCAGCCTTCTCTGCTTCTAATTTATATGAACAGTTCATTAACGAACCACATCATAAGTGCTGCTGGAATACTACGTGGATAACTTATAACTATCACTCAATACCTTAGCTACCATATGCTCATAAGACATCATATTCAATTACCAAAGAAAAACTATCCAAAGTGATTGATGATGCTGAAAATTTTGTACCGTCTTAAAATCTCAAATTGCATGAATGCATTCGCATTTGTTAATAACCTCAACTAATGACAATACTCAGTTGGGATCTCTCACATAAAGCTGGTCTCTTCTAGGCACACGTACTTCATCACAAGCATAATTTGTTCTGTAGAGCATATTGTTTGTTTCCAGTGAATAAACAAGTATACATCAGCGTTATCAATTGTTTTTTTCGAAATAATTTTGGATTCAAAAAAAGAAGTATGACTTTCATAGACCGAAAATTACTAACTAATTAAGTACGTCAACGATAAATTAGAACTCTTCTTGCTGAACAACTTCAAGGAAACCAATTCACGGCTAAAACTAGTTTAACAGATAGACAATTGAACTTTAACTCCAAGACAAAATAAAAATTTTCTCAGCGCAGCTATGGGAGTAGCGAGCAAAAGCAGATAGGTATTGTTGCACATACTGCACTACTCAGGCATTATCAGAACAAAACTTGAACGAAGGCAAACCTCAAATGGAACTAAGAATAACATATTGCTGACTTACCGTCACCACTGCTACGTTTGTCATTGCAAAGAAGTGCGCTGAGGTCGATGTGTTCGGTGCTGAAGGAATTCTGCGTAACATTCGATGGGCCTTCTACTGCTTCTGGAGATGGAGATCTTGAAGAATCACCCGAATGACTTGTGGACGGTGCTCTCAATGTAGCGAATGCATCCACTGAAACAGCCACTTGCTCTTTGTTTTATCAATCCCGTAAGAACCCCATGGGAAAGGCCGTTAACTCCATGATTTTACCGAATACATCTAAATTAGATGAAATGCTCAAAACATATAAGACTCTCACTATGTGTATATTGAAACTGGAGATCAATGCTTATTAATCGTTCAAAAATTAAATGCTAGAATAATGAGAAATCATTGCAGATCCTCAGAAACGTCGACATTCTTACAATGCTACTATGATTGAACAAGCTATATAAGCAGCTTATGCTTATGACAACTGTCTTTGAGTGGAATAAATGAACTCATCTTATTTGCTAATTTTTAAGTAAAAATTGCATGCTTTATTTCAGTGAATTTTGAATTTGATAATTCTGAATGTCTGCAGTTTTGATACACCCCCTGTTATAATACTTACTTTTTAAATCGGCACCAGTTAAAATTTAAAAATTTTATGTTTGTAATAATTAAAAAACAAATTTTCTGAATTGATTCCTCGCAATGTCATAAAATGAATTGATTTAAACGATGCACGATGACTCATGATTATCATGTATTCGATGAAATAGGTGAGTAATACGCTCTCAGTAACCGATGACATTCAATAATTATTGAACAAAACAAGAGATGTTTCAGTTGGAACTATCACGCAATCATTGGTGGCACTCAAACTGAGGATGGCTACACTATAATTGTTTCTTTGCATTGATTGCTTGTGTCTGTCGATACTACAGAAGGAATTATTGATGAAGTCATCGTATCACGTTTATCGCTGCGCACTAATCCATCAGCAAATCATTTCATGCGTTATCGCTGACGTTTCTTTTATGTTTACATTTTAATGAAGCTTTATGAGACGAAATAAGGTAATGAATTTTACCTGCCGTCAGTGATAAACACAGCTTGTGCTCACTGAATTTCACGGAACGTTTCAAACAAAACATTGACACTCAAATCGTATATTAGTTTTTTGCTTGAATGCGATTTCTTTCACAATTTTATCGATATGCACTGGACAGGTTAATGCGTAGCGATGAAACTATGAAAGGCGTTGTTTTGGAATTCAGAAGCAAAAATCAGAATCATCGAATCAGTGCTTTGTATAATAAGATTGCATATTATTGAGAAGATGAATTGATACACTCATTATTGAATATTTCAATCAAAGAAAAACAATATTTCTGTATTCTCAATGATTCATGATCACTTCAGTCATCTTTTCTTGTAGATCCAAGAAGAAAAATGAATGCAACAGACTGAAAGCAGACAAAATGATTGAATAGATGAGAACCTTATTCATGGCTTAAGCATACTTATGAAATTACATTCAAGCCTAAACGACTGCTTCCAAGCATCCACTATCGTTAACAACGAATAATGAAATCTCGTAAAAGTACTGTAAAAAGGTTACTGACGAATGCAACTCCACTCACCTCCATTAGCTAATTGCTGCTGCATTTTCCAACATTCTTGCCAAAACTGCTGCATATTCAAATTAGCGAACATCAGATCAAATTAAGAATCTATAAGAATAAAGCAGCAATCTCGATTGACAAACCAATGGTACAACTCAATTAGCTCTTGACGCCTTTTTACCGTTTTCGATGTAAATACGCCTGGTCATGTTCAAAGATACCATAGCCAATCATTCAGCAGCAAGTGGGCGGTGCTATTGAAGCGAAAAGTTATCATTGCTTAAAGAAAGATGTTGAACAAATATTTGAACAATGATAATTGAAAAGAGATGCAGAAAATTAAAGATAATCGTAGAGTGTAATAATACTAATAATATAAGTGGATAGTAGAGTAAAACAAAAGGAATAATTGAAGATGGGTGGAACGAATAATCATTGATTGAAGATTTAGGTATGAGAAATGTCGAAAAGTAAATAGATGATTAGCATGCTAATGGGAATAGGAGAAAGTGAGAGGAATGCTTGTTTGGGATGTCTAAGACAGATTGGACGTGGAAATATGATGAACGATCTAGGGGAATAGCTTTCAAATCGTTTAGTTGTGCTTTTTTAAGCACAAATGAATGAACATCACGGCTCGTTGAACCGAAAACAACGCCGAGAAACTGTTAAAGGGATTATGAAAAAGAATTTGTTCATATCGCGATGGATGGATTCGTTAGTGGAAGAAAGCCTCTGAATACAGCGAAATGAATTATGAACGAAAAGCAATATGCGATTGATTGGTTGCAGTAAGACGAAGAAAAGATTAGAAACCGAACGAATAATGGACGATGCTTCCTGAATAGAGCTTATCTATTTATATTATATATCCCGTTCTCAAGTGTACACATTAGAGCAGTGGATCTCAACCTTCCCCCCCCCCTCTCCTCCCTCTCCCCCCCCGCACCCCTAGAAAATTTCAAGATTTCCTCGCAATCCTACAAAAATAGTTAAAATGTCCTCGCACCCCTCACAATGTCCGCTACTGTGAGTTTCTGTAGTGTGGATAAGTGCATACCATTCGATTACGTTCTAGCTTTTTTCAAGAATACATACGTTAAAGTCCATCCTCGCCTGCTTTACGCACATGTATGCGCTGAACGCCGTCCTCGCCTTCTTTAATTTACAAGAAATAAAATCTTTTCTCACATTCGGTGGAGTACCACCGTGCATTAGAAGATGCATAATTAAGTAGCGCATCCAAATGATTGAGCCACTCATTGCCAACTCGGTATTGACGGCACCAAAAGTAAGGGTGAAATGGTGCGAAAGACAGAACATGTACGGACTGCTCAGAAACAACATCGATTATGTCATATGTATGGCTATCGACTACTGTACCGTTTTGAATACGTTCAACCTGATACAATAAGGCTGGAGCATAAATGAATTTGATATTTAGTGGTGTGAAATAATGAGTATACAGTACCTTACTGCATTACTGTTATGGATGAACGTTTACGACTGGAAACCTTCATAATATGATTTATTACACTGATCCGAGAATGTTGCTGCGAATGATGGTAAGTTTAAATTACAAGTTATTGTTCTCGTCCAAAATAAAGTAACTTTCAATGTTGTTAATTTGTGAGTTTTCAGAAACACATCTGTATGCATGTTAACTTAATGTTAAGTTTTTTTTCTATTGTGTTATGAAGAAATTTTTACTCCGCTCAATTCCGACTTCACGAATCATTTTTTCAAGAATTTGGCAATTTGTTTGAAGCGTTTATGGCAGCAATAGCGATTGATTGCTGTCAGTGATTGGTGTTCAATGAATTTCATGAATCATTTAGCGTTGAATTTGTTTAATGGGATGAAAGGATAATTTGACGAACGAGTTGACGGTGTGGTTGACCACTGGAACAATAGTCCGTCCATACATACTGAGGGTCGCATATTGAATTAGCATCCCACTCTTTTGTTCACATATATGACGTGCTCATCTCAACGCAGACAAGCCTGCCTTTAGCTGATTGCTTTAATCTCTCTTAATCAAAGTTGAAATTTCAGTGTTGGCATGTCAAGAAAGCGAGTTCTGTCAGAAAAAGAGCACTATTTCAGTAGAATGAAATGCAGCTGTCAAGATAATCGTAAGTTGGAAAGATCTGCAGATGAGTGAAAGTCCCTTATGAACGATACAATAGCGAAACGTAATTTTTGAAATGATCAGATGGGTAATTTCCAGATGGCACAACGGTATACTTAAATAAATTGTTGATCCATCATTATTTGCTATGTTTTCGATTGATCTCACTCGAAAACTTCGTTCATCCAAGTAATTCTTACTTAATTTATTGTATTCCACTTGGCTAAAGGTTTAAGCTCACTCTGCATCACATATTCTCGTCCATCAGAAATTCATTCGGATGTCATTGCATACCCGCCAGAATCGAAGGCAGGAATGATCCACCCCTATAATTAATATCAATTTCACGGTTGCTCTTCATATTAGCACTAGATTCTTTGGTGCTCACCAATCTCATTTGATAACCATTCGAAGGAATTGCCATGCTGACAAGCTATTATCTACAATCCAATTTGACACGTTCTTTGTTCTGCTTTCAAGAGTGACAATTAAAATTGAAATAACGTCTAAGAAATTGAAGTGTAATGCAATGATAACTGCGCCGAAAAGGCCATCATATGTGGGAGATACTCGATGAAATTAGAAACGATTAGACTGCAATGCTGCGCTAAATGATATGGAAATTGGCTTATAAATTGAAGCACATCTGAGAAGATGGCCAAGCAATTGTTTTCCGTTAATTTCAAGTGCGATCCACAGCTAATCATCAAATTGCATTATTTTAACGTCACGCCCTCCTATGTCACTCCGTTATACACAGAAGTGCTACGGTAATGACATTCCACAGAACAAACTTTATCCAATTCCATGACTGGCATATGAAAAATTCAATTCTCTTTTTTGACTGGAGTTTTCTGGTGACATTTGGGGCATGAACATACATATGAATAATTCATACGGTGCACTTTTTATATCATCTGAACTCAGCAAAAAATATGCAGTTTTGTTTACAAGACACTAGAATCTTAGTCTTGCAGCTATATCATCAGTCCGGAGCGAAACGATCCTACAGTATCATTTAAAGTGGTATTACTGAAAGTAGTATTGTTTTAATTGTTATTGGTGCTTATCATTATAAGTGTCATATGTGCCAATCATAAAACACCGACGACTGCATTAGGCTGGATTAATTGAAATTAATTTACTCATACTAGCTGGAAATAATTCAAGATATCACACGGAAATCATTTGTATGATCTCAGATATCACAACGCTGACAGCAATGTTAAATCAATACGTTCTGCTAAGATAACATATCGAATTTCTTTATTGACTCAATTAAACGATATTATTGAAAATATTATTGGTAGATTATTTGTATGTATAGAATGCATAGCAATGAAAATGAAAGAAGCCAATCATGTGCACATTAAAAATGCTTCCTATTAGTATGAATGGCCACAGATTGAATGGCGCAAAAGCAACAAATGACTATACTCGCTGGAGAGTGTTGTATTGGGTGGAATCATGCAATGCTCTTACGTACCTCCCCGGGGAGAAATGAGCATCATTTAGCAAACACAATTTCTCAATTAACACTTCCCACTCAGCTTTGGGAATTGTTTAGTTTTGTTTCCAAATGCAATACGGCTGCCTGCTTGGTTGCCACATAGATGTAGATGAATAACCCAGCGGATAGCCAGACAAAGTCACTATTCATCATCTTGACATAGTCTATTGAAATATCTTTATTCGCTAACACCTAAATGATAGCATATTTCACTGCGTTATTCTATTCAAACACTCTCATAACAATTATTCAGCCGATACAATCACGCTTGATTTTGATACCCTATTGTTACAGCTCGTTCAACAAGTTACACTTGTTTGCCACAAGCGTGAACCCAACTATCACTAACTGCTATAAGTTGAACTCGTCATGCAGTACAATCTTTACGACTTAGTTTACTTTACGATCTTCCTTGGTCATGCATTATTCCTCATTCAGGAAGCACATATTCTGAAGTTTTAGGTTCGAATTCTGGAAGCATCGGTTGACATCATAGTAATGAAGAAACCTGATATCAATGGATATATATTCAGCGTCTTCGTGACTTTCGATTTATTGAAAACAGTATGTTAGGATAAAAGCTTCTTTGATGAGATTCATTAACAATGCTGCATTTAATGAAATTATTGTTTGCTAGATGCAATCTTTGAACTGAGTGACTGCTAATAAATGAGCTCCATTTCAAATAATCCTTCTTCGAAACTGAAGTTTAGTTACACTTTGAAGCAGCAATACCAAAGCACTTTCTGCATTTCCAGTTCATTCACACTATGAAACCCAATAGACGATTGTTTTGATGACTACTTGTTGAGCATTCAAAAAATGCTTGAAAATGACAGGTGCAGAATTTATTCGAAGCTGAACATCAGCTTAATGTCAATGAGTTCTTCAAAGATACGAATCACACAAAAATGTCCTCCGCGATGAGATGAAATTTGATGATAATTATGCTTATGTTTATCTCGAAATCCTATTTTGGCGCATAAAATAAGACTTTATCGCCATATTTTGATCAGCTCATTTAGGAATATCAAAACTGCGAATGACTCAGTCAGCTGCTGTATGCTAAGCACAATCCCTAGACTGAACAATCAGATATGCAATTATAGTGATCTATACACTTATATGTTGTATCTGTCGTTCTAATGTGATTGATAGATATTTTATTTGCAGAATTGCCATCAAAAGACACTGCAACAAGAGTCCTTAACGCAATTTACAGTTTTTACTGTGAACAACATTCATTGTCATGAATCAAAAATATTCACATCTCCGATAAACGTCGAATTTGGGTTCTTTTAATCGCACAGAACACGTGACTGAGTTACCTTTTCCATGTTTGATAATATTTGCAGCTTAGATGGGTTCAGTTACAGAAGCCATAATGTGTCACATCAAATCGTACAAATCATCCAAACCGCTAGAACACAAGTTTCATTGACACGCTTTCCTCATGACTTTCGTTGCGCATGGTGGAAGAATAATGCACTCGAAAACGGTATCACATTGTTCATGAATGCAATGGTCTTTGCATGAATCAATTGTGGTATTATCATTGAAAAATTGAACGAGCGAGAATAAAAACGCTAAAATAATATTTTACAATAATTTCTTCCAAATTGTTCCACTTTTCTGCTTCACCCAAAGTTATTAAATGATGACCGTTTTGATTGCTGCACTGCTGAAGTATTCTGATCACTCGGTAACGCCTTTCATAAAATGTATTCTCGCAAATTTAATAACTGTGATAACTGCATAAAACGAGTTAAGAGATGATTTTGCAGTTGAATAATGGATTTTATTAAGTACTGGCAGATGACTTATCATTGTAGCTGGATATTAATGAGTTGATTTTAAATTGGTTCATTAAATTTTGACATATTTATCGACGACTAATCAATTAGCTTATATAAAGAAATGTTTTGTTAGAGATAAAGTGAGACGACAGATGAAGAACTGAAAGAAAAGATAGGTGAAAGAAGGATGGTAAGTGAAGATTAGGGATAGGCTAGCATACTGGTGAACTACCGAATTATAGAATGATGCGAGTTAGTTAAAGAAGACTTTAAGTAAATCAGCTGTTCATTTGGCAGTTCAGTGACAAATTGAATGCGATAATCAATCAAATATGAATCGATGTCATCTCAAATCACATTCGAGAATTAATTGAATGTGCATCATTCATTTACGATTTCCATCCTCTTCAAACAACTCATTTATTATCAGCCAACACTCAAACACAAACATCTCTAACTGCATATCAAAAATGCCATTCATTTACTGTTTCGCACTAATCATGTAAGTATTGAGTGCAGCTAACCATACAGTCATCCTATCTTCTACTTCACCAACTCATTCAAACCCATCTTATGCATTTTCGGTAACTGTATTTATGGATCATATTTATTTCAATTTGAACTGCACGATTAAACAAGCAACAGTTTTTTGCCAGAATGCAAAACTGAGCGTGTGGGTTTTGTTACGTGTGATGATTTTTGATGTTTCGTTGCGTAATTTATTTTGAATTGCAATTGTGCATTGTCTTGCAAGTATCCAGAACGGATATACGATTCAGAGGATGTTCATTTTGTTTGGCTATTGAAAGTGGAATGGACTAAAGAATCCAGTAGGATCGAAACGAGAAAACGAATATATCATCTGATGTAATTATTCCCCTGAATTTGAATCAAAGACATTTAATGCAGTCTTATTGGTGAATGAACTAAGCAAACAAATGTTGAGAACAATGATATTTTGAATGTTTATTACTGTTATTATCAGTGAATTTTCGCAAAACAAGATCGATATGAAACAATTCAAGCATACTGCAAGAGACGAAACCCGACGTTTAGATAGTAAGATCTTTCAAGAATAAAGAGTGAATTTGATATTAGTGACACAATTCAGTATGAGTTAGTTAATTAGAACAAACATAAAAGATGCAACAGTCACAGGACGATAATTTTTGATAGGCGGTAGAGAAGAAATGCTGAATGATGACAGATGTGAACTGGATGGAGAAATGATGCGCCTAAAAGCTGGACACCAACGGAAAAGTTGAAATCAATCAAGTTGAGTGATAACATAAGAAAATAAGAAAAAGGGCAATAAATAATGGGAAAATTATAATGATGGAATTCGATCAGAGTGATCGCTAAGAAATTCAAGAACACGCGTTTAGTCCAAAGCCACTACTGTTCTATCGAATTATCATTCCTTAATCTCCATGGTGCTTTCTGAATTCCATGCACCCTTGCTTCAATAAAATCTTCACTAAAGACTTCCTTGCAGTAAATATCTCCGATGCTGACATTTCTCTCTAATTTAAAAGAAACAATTCATTTTTCAAGAGAAACCATGAGAGTCATTGAATCTGAAGATGATCGAATGATGCGATTCGATAAGAGCTGATTTTAGTACAACCAATCGAAACCCAAAATTAGTACAACTATATCAAGGAATACAATTATTCAAACCAAATAATAAAACAGTATTTATTGTTCCAAATCTGTATCTGGTTTAGGTTCATAAAAGTGGTGTCCACTATGAACTCGATGAAACTCGAAATGTTCCGTTGTGGCATGGTTTCTCCTCACTGACTCAAGCAATTCACCAGCCAAACATGTCTGCAGTTTCGGCATAAAATCCTGTAAAATGTACGCAATATTTGCTGTAGGAAGGAGCTGGTCGTCGAGACTATTTCAAAGCTTTTAGCACTCAAAAAATGACGATAAACTTTTGTAGAATTTCATTTCATCCAATGAGCTCACACATTCTAAATGCGTAACATCTTTTTGTAATTTTTTGTAATTTTTGTAATTTTGTAATTTTTTGGTAATTTTTTTTGTAATTTTTGTAATTTCAGTTCATTATCAATGTTTCTATGTGTTCACAATAGCTGGATGCTACACAAGGAATTTGAAAATCAATAACCTACCGCATTATAGCCAGATAGTAATTCTCGTTCACCTTCTGGCTGAAGTGTTGCAGATGGTCCCCTCTTTGGAACATGTGGCTCGGGCGATATATTTGAGTAAGATGTTTTATATTCAGTGCGATCATCTAGCGGTCCTTTGAAAAAGGGATATGTGTATGAATGACGCATTTTAAATAAAGTTATGAAGTGCTCATTATTGTATGAACCAGCTTTTAGGATTTGCTCTATATGAAGCTATGAGTGCCCCACCCCAATTACTTTGCCTTTGGACAGTCACTAAGGCTGAATTGGATCTGATAATACTCGTGACAGGGTGTTTCTTGAATGATCTTACCCCTTCACATCATCTGGATAGTAGCAATGAACATGACATTTCAAATCTGTTGATGAAAATGATCAAAAGTACTTTGGAAAGCTAAAGTCATAGTTAAGATATTTTGATAAATTCATCGCTTAATGTTCAAAAATACTTCCAAATTAATTTAGTCAACAATTGCTTCATATAATAAATATTCTTGAGGTAATTCCCATATCATAACGATGACTAAAGTGTCAAAATGTTGTCTTGTTTCGAATAAATTAATGCCCAGAAATACACTAACCTTGTTCAATTCGTATTTCCTGCTCATGACGTACAGCCTTACGTACATCCTCAGGTCTCACACCCTCATAAAAAGTTTCACTGTAAACGGTCTTGTAATCGTCCTTCTCATCAGGTCTGCCGAAAAGCGGTGTACCAGAACGTTTCACCAAAACGGAACGTTTTCCTTGTTCGCCCGTGAAATCACTTCGGGATCGTGAATACGTTGAGAAGTTTGCATCACTCTGCAAAAAACATGTGAAATAAGAAGTGCACCCACGAAAGCACGATCACCTCTCTATATCAAACAAAACGAAATCCATAATACCTTCAAATGGATGCAACTCCAACACATCGCGGTGTAAAAATGGGACTAAACAAGAAGAAACCGTCAAGAAAATCATTTTTCCAAGTAATATTCAAATTCACGTCCAACGTTCCTGGTTTTACAAAAAGTTTTGAAACCCAAAATGCAGAAACAATGGATTGAACGATAATCTAATTCAAGCATCAAAGCAACAAAATTAATCAAGTGTCTTAGGCGGATTATAATAAAATTTGAGCTCATAATGCTATTGTGGCAAAGACAAGTTAAAATTCATGTGCAGTTGAATTGTCGCATTGTAATTTTCAATAGATTTCAACGAAATTTCTGTCTGGTAGCAACAACCTTCCAAATGTGTGAACTGTCCTGTCGTACTATTTCATAGCGTTCCCCTCTCTTTGGTGTGAATTCGGCAGTGTTCTGAGTCTCAGTTGAGAATGTTCCATCCCCTTTCAAAACATTTGAATCATTCGGTTTTTTCATTTCAAAGCGTTCACCCTTGACGAAATGATATTCTTGGTGTGATACACTATCAGAATCCATTGCTCCATCAGCCTGAGAAAAGATAATACTTTATTGATAATAAAATGTCAACGAAGCTGATATGACTGTGACTATTAAATCCATTCTTTAAAATTCCCTATTTTAGCCGAAATTCAGTCACAATTTTTATTGAACAGTACTGATAAGTATAGTACAGATGCTTCAACAATTTTTAAGGGATAATGGTTCAAGGAGTCGCACTGCATTTAGATTAAATCAAAATACATATAAGAAAGTAACTATTTACGTTCGGAAAAATTGTCAGCGGAATGCACTAAAATTGAGCTGTTTCAAAAGCGAATAAGAGAGCTGAAAGGTGATCTAGCCACCGATCAACTTTTAAAGTTTCGCACGATTTCACCGCATAAACAATATATATTCAAATAACGGTTAGGTTAAACATTTTGCAAACGTTAACGGCATTGAACGAAACGAATCTAAAGACTTACATTTAATTTCCAAATCTCATCACTTCCACGTCTAACAGCCTCAAATCGCTCCCCTTTCAACAATGCTGTTTCAAGATTTTCAAGTCTACCGTCATGAAATACGCCATCTCCTTTCAGAATTTCAGAATCTTTCGGTCTAACAACTTTGCATCGTTCTGCTGTTACATGGGAATAGTCTTGATGTGAAACCGTATCGTTTTGTACTGTTCCGTCTTGCTGAAATAGATATCATATGCTGAGTATTTGATAGCATTTGATACTGAAATAGATAACCGATATGACACTACTGGTTTGACTGTTGTACAGATTCATAATCATGGAAAATCTCCATATTATCAACTTCATTTCTTTGCACCTGCGATTTGGCAAGTTCGTAGTTACCCTCTAAATATTTGATGTATCTCATCAAGTTCAATGAACAAACCACAACACACTGTCCAACAAAGACTTCTTAAGCCAGTTCACTGGATGTGACTCATTTAACGATTAATATGTACTTCATCATATCATTCGACATATCAGGACCTATGTAAACAGGAACGAATAGATGGTAAATGCAAAACACATTGGGCACATTGAGTGAATTTCAACCTTCCAAATGTCAGAGCTATCCTGTTTAACCAGTTCATATCGGTCTCCTTTCTTGACTGTGAATTCGGCATTGTTATCTGTCTCTGCCACGAATTTTCCATCGTTAGTCAGAATATCGGAGTCTTTTGGTTTTTTAGTTTCGAACCGTTCGCCCACCTTCTCGGTATATTCTTGACATGAAACGGTGCGATAATCAACTGGTCCTTCAGTCTATAAAACGCATCCATTATCGCATTGTAGCTTTAAAGTTTGTTAGCGACTATTGACGGACCAGACAATTTCAATCACGTTGTTAACCGAGTATTAGGCCCACAAAACATGAATGAATCGTGAAAGCACTGAACAGAATCCATGAGCAAAAGAACTCAGATGTTGAGCTTTTTTAGCTTTCATTTACCTTCCAAATGTTGGCATCCTCTTGTCGTACACTAACGTAGCGTTCACCTATCTTAGATGTATATTCAGCGCTTTTTTCAGTTTCTGAAACAAAAGCTCCATCTTCCTTCAGAAGATTTGAATCTTGCGGTTTGTTCATCTCATAGCGTTCACCTTTTACCGCTGAATAATCTGTACGATTCACTGTATCAGCTATCATCGGACCCTCCTTCTGTAAATAAGTAGCAACAATGACTATGGTGAAAAATGCTGGAATAACGATAAGGACATCGGAAAAATTAAATAACTCTTCAAGATAATGGAACTGAAAGATATCAATGAAAACATCATAGTTTTGGACATCGAATATAAAAGAGAAAATCAAACGATAAACAATGTGATTGGTTTAAAAAAATTCGAAACCTAAAAAGTAAACAACACCTTCCAAATATCAGCACTCCCCTGCCTCACGATTTCATATCTTTCTCCTTTCGTGGCTGTGAACGCAGTATTTTTGTCCGTTTCCGCAATGAATTTTCCATTGGCTTTAAGGATATCAGAATCCACAGGTATTTTTGGGGCGTACCGCTCACCTTTTTTGTTGGAAAATTGTTGATGTGAAACAGTATCATATGACATCGTTCCGTCATACTGAATAACGTAATTTTTTAAACTGCTTATTTATGACATTATCAGTCAAAGCCATCAAACGAGGTTAAAAAGAAAGAATGCGTTCAGATTAAAAAAGGGAGGACAGAATTTGTGAGTGAGAAAAGCAACTATGCTAGTGCCCTTCTCAATTCTTAAAATTAGAATTCAATCATTCATAAGTATTTCATATGATGATAATTTAGAATTAAAACGAACCTTCCACACGTCCGAACTGGTCTGTTTCACAGCTTCATAACGCTCCCCCTTTTTGGCTGTGAATTCAATACTCTTATCTGTTTCGGTAGTGAAACTACCATCGCCGTTCAGTATATCTGAATCTTTTGGTTTCCTTACATCGTATCGTTCTCCTTGAACTTTCGAATATTCCTGATGGGTGACTGTATCTGCTGCCATGGGACCATCTTTCTGAAATGTGTGGGAGTCCACAGGAGGGAAATGAAGCGTGCTATCTTGAACCTTTTGACGATAAATTTCGTATCCTATACAAATTCATTTGATAGCAACATATACTAACAATCTATAACAGGCTACAGGAAGTCAGAATTCTGAATATGAAGAAACTATTATTCAGTTACAACTAACAGTTCTATTAATTATGAAAGATCAATTATGAAAGAATAACTCTACCCTCCATATATCTGAACTGCCCTGTTTAATAACGCCGTAACGTTCTCCCTTCTTGGCTCCATATTCGACGTCTTTTTCCGTTTCATAAGAGAACGTTCCATCGCCTCTTAAAATATTTGAATCTTCAGGCTTTTTGACCTCATATCGATCTCCCTCTCGATGAGAATACTCCGAACGAGTAACTGTATCTGCTGACATTGAGCCGTCCACCTGGAAGTTGGAAAAGCGATAAAATTAAAGAGGGGCGATTATAAACAATAAAATTATGCAAGTCAAGTTCACAGTGCTGAGTAGTTCAATAATACAGTTTATCTAAATATTGAAAATAGATCTACCAACCTTCCAGATATCTGAGCTGTCTAGTTTCTTGGCTTCATATCTTTCACCTTTCTTTACCGTGTACTCCGCGTTCTTATCAGTTGTATCCGTAAAACTACCATCTCCTCTGAGAATATTTGAGTCTTGTGGTTTCTTCATTTCATATCTTTCACCTTCGCTACCAGAGTAATCTTGATGTGTCACAGTGTCTGCAGCCACGTGTCCCTCTTTCTAAAGATCGTAAATTCACTGATAAGTGATACAACAAACCATTGATTCAATAGATATCAACTTTATTTGACAGGTTCTTGAAAGAAGGAATCAGTGAATGTTATGATATCGATAGTATCGAGCATTCTCTGACATTCAATTATTATTATAACCTTCCAGATATCCGACGTTGCTGGTCTAACAACCTCGTATCGTTCACCCTTTTTCGGAGCAAATTCGACGGTCTTTTCAGTTTCAGCGTTGAATGATCCATCTCCTTCGAGAATATTTGAATCCTTCGGCCTAATCGTTTCAAATCGATCACCTTTGATGTTTGAAAAGTCGTCGTGAGAAACGGAATCTGTAGTCATAGCTCCAATTTGCTAAAATACACCTCATGATAGTCTAGACAAGTGGAAAGTTGATCAAATCGATAGGCATAACTGCATGATCCACTAAGACAGGGTTTCTCAACCGAGGATGCATGCACCTCCAGGAGGTGCGAGATAGTATTCCACGGGGTGTCGTAAGAGGGCATGAGATGAGACAGGCTGTTGTAGCGGTGCGAAGGCATCTTAAAATTTTCTAGTGGGCGCGAGGCGCAAGAAAGGTTGAGAATCACTGCACTAAGAGAACTGAATATAACTGACAAATAAATACCTTCCATATATCGGCACTTCCTTGCTTCTTCATTTCATAATGTTCACCTCGTTTAGGCTGGAATTCTGCATTTGTATGCGTTTCTGCTATAAATGACCCATCGCCTTTTAGAATATCTGAATCTTTCGGTTTTATCACTTCAAAACGCTCTCCTCTCATTACTGAATATTCTTCATGCGATACAGTCTCTTTGACCATTGTACCTTCTTTCTGAAACGATTATTAGTGCAGCAAGCAAATGATAAAATCAATCAGGTATCTCAATACTCAGGTGGTGACCGCAAAGCATTCGGCAGATATTCCCGACCAATTTAGCAAATTTCCAAATTCCAAAATTCTTCGATATCTACATCTTTCTATAGACAGTACTTTGCAAGATCATAAAAGTGCCATTATCATTATAAACCTCGTTTATTACACACCACGGTTGCTTTTCAAACACAAAATAGCGATCTAAATCTCCAAAGAGCTCCAGAGATCACAAAGTTCCAGGAAAATCAATGCTAAAAACCTGTTTTTTCAATCAGTGAAGAACTAACCTTCCAAACATCATCGACACCCCGTTTAACGATGTCATATCGTTCACCAGTTTTAGGCTTGAATTCGGCCTGTTTCTCAGTTTCTTTGACAAAAGATCCATCTGCTCTTAAAACGTCTGAATCTATTGGTTTCTTCGCCTCATACCGTTCTCCTTTCTTGACTGAATATTCGTTGTGTGTTACCGTGTCAGCATCCATTGCTCCTTCCATCTAAAAATATTGCTCTAAAAACGTCCATTCTAGTAGAACTACCCTCAACGAATCAAACGGTTGTAAACATTACCAAGCTAACGATGTTGTCTTGTGTAATTAGAATCATCACTGCATTGACAGAGACCGATGCAAAATTTATTCTTGTTGGTTACCCAGATTTTCTAAGCAAAAACTATTTAAGTTTACAATGAAGCAAAGACACAGTCCCTAAAATCCAAGAGGACAACTGAACCTGGAATAATGTACAAGATAAGACCGAAAGCATGAAGGAAACATGAAAATTATATGAGCATGATTCATTGACAACACAATGGTTCGATCTGTCTCACACTAAGTTCCAAATTTCATCACTTTCACGCTTCACCATTTCAAACATTTCACCCACATTCACGATAAATTCAGCCGCGTTATCAGCTTCAGTTGGGAACGAGCTTCTTTGAGACAACTGAACCATGAGCCTCCATGGCATCAAATTTCAGTCCACAAGAAAACGATTGAACCGAACGCGAGTGGAAGCGCGCTTTCTGACAGCAAAAGC